TAATATATATATGTATATACACACACACACACACAGGTAATAAAAATACAAGTGTAATAAGATAGCAGTGGATTCCCAGAGTTTGAAGAATTTTTTTAAAGGCACCAAGTGCACTCAGCTCCTGGCAATAAGCATTGTGGATCATAGCTGCAGGCAGATCCCAGCCAGGGAAGTGCCCCAACCCCAGTAGCTTGGGCACACAGGCCAAAGTCAAAGGCCTGCTTGGAAAACAGCTGCACAGGTGCACAAGCAACAGCCAGAGGCTTGCCCCAATAAATACCATCAGTAACATACAGAGACCCTACCCAAAAGCTTGCTCAGAGACCAGGGACTGGGGCGCACAGACCCCAGCCAAAGGTTCTTCCAGACAACAGCTACATAGGGGCCCTAGCCAGAGGCATGCCTAGATACCATCTAAAGAGAGCACAGGCCCCAGCCAAAAGCCCATCCAGACAACAGGTCAGCTGAGGGATCCAGGAGGCCATCATTCTGAACCCAGGAACTGGTGGTATACTGGTGAGCAGCAGAGAAAAGACCATGCAGTAGCTTACTGAGAATTGAAGACCAGTGGGTGAACAAAAAGTTGCCTCAACAAAGGCACAGCAGGCTGCATCTGCTGAAATGAGAAGAGATGTAAACAAGTCTTAAACCCAGACTTCTAGATTACCTAAGGCAATCCCAAGGGACAATGAGATGGAACAATCTGATACTCAACCACCAAGACTCCCTGACCTGGCAACAAGAAAGGGTCTGAAAAAATTAAAATCAGAAATAATTTCTCAGATACCAGCATAGATTGTGCTCATAGTGCAAGACATGATTAATAAATCCAGAGCAGACACTTTTAATCAGTGTCTGATAAAATAGGAGCTGAGGAACATGATAGAATCACAAATGAAATCCACAAAACAGATATAGATTTCCAAGAGATTAAAAACTCCATTGAAAGCTTACATAGCAGAATAAGCCATTGTGAGGACAGAATTTCAGATAGAAGATAGGACGGCAATTAGTGACCAGGAAAACAAAAATTACTTTAAAATAGTAAGGAACCACAAGAAATCAATCCAGCTACTGCTACACAATGCAAAGAATAACACGACATAAGACTGATTGGAGTCAATGAAGAAACAGGACAGAGTGCAAACAACATTAAAAAAAAGTCTTCACAGAAGTAATGGTAGAAAACTTCCTAAGCATGAGAAAAGAACTTGATATACAGATAAGTTAGGCATATATGACTCCAACTAGCCATGATGAAAAAAAAAAATCTACACATAGGCATATAATAGTTAAAATTCCAGAAACCCAACAGAAGAACAAAATTCTACAAGCAGTTAGAGAAAACAAACAAATTACATACAAAGGAAGGCCCATCAGAATCACAGCAGACTTCTCAACACAAATCCACAAGGCAAGAAGAGCATAAAGTATTTTAAGCCCTAAAGGAGAACAACCTCCACCCAGATTTATGTACCCTGCAAAACTATCTTTCAAAATTGATGGAGAAATAAGATACTTTCATGACAAAGAGCACCTTAGGAACTTCATAAATACTAAACTGGCACTCCAAAAATTTTAACAATATCCTAGGAAAAAACAATGAGGATCACAACTTCTGGAATCCCTACAGAATGAATCCATCAGGCATGACAAGAAATTAAATGCAAAGGAAAAGAATCCAACAAAAAGAAAAAGTCATGACAAGGATAAGCCAATACATATCAGTGATAACAATCAATATTAATGGTCTCAATTCACCAATCAAAAGAAATACACCAGCAGAATAGGTCAAGAAGCAAGATCCAACAACATGCTGCATACAAGAAACACACTTAATTCAAAAAGAAACTCATAGACTGAAAGTTAAAGGATGGAAAACAATACTCCATGCAACAGAAACCTGAAAAAAAGCAGGAGTAGCTATCCTTTTCATAGATCAAGAGTATTTCAAACTAACACTGCTTAAGAGAGACAAAGAAGGACACTACAGGGCTGGGGATTTAGCTCAGTGGTTCTGCTGCCTGCTTCACAAGCCCAAAGACCACAGTTCAATTCCTGGTACAAAAAAAAAAAGAAGAAAGAAGAGAAGAAAGAAGGAAGAAGGAAGAAGAAGAAGAAAGAAGAGGAAGAGGAAGAGGAAGAGGAAGAAGAAGAAGAAGAAGATAAACACTAAGATGCCCAACTATATAAAACAAATACTAACTGACATGAAAAATCAAATAAGCACTAACCCAATAGATCAACTAAACAGAAATTAACAATGAAATACTAGAACTCAATCAAATTCCTGAACAAATAAATTTAACAGTTGTTTACAGTGTTCCACCCCACAAAATCAGAATACATGCTCTTTTTAGCTACACATGGTTTGTTTTCCAAAATAGACCACATACTTGATCAGAGAACATGTTAAATTAAGTGCAAACAAATTGGATTTATCCCCTGTATACTATGAGACCATAATGCAATGAAATTGGAGATCAATACCAAAAGAAACCACAAGAATTTCATAAACATATGGAAATTGAACAACACACTTCTGAATGGCTAATGGGTAACAGAGGAAATTAAAGAAGAAATCAGACAGTTTCTACAACTAAATGACAATGACATAACAACATATAAGAATCTATGGGACACAATGAAAGCAATTTTATGAGGGAAATTCACAGCAGTGAATGCTCATATTATGAAAACATAGCAAGCTTAATTAAAAACACCTGATGCTGAACCTCAACCTTCTAGAAAAAGAAGAGCAGGAGAAACCCAAAGCTCATACATGAGAGAAAATTATAAAGATCAGAGCAGAAATCAATGCAATGGAGACTAAGAGAATGATACAAAACATCAATGAAGCAAAGAGTTGGTTCTTCAAAAGAATAAACAAAATTAACAAACCCTTAGCCAACTTTATCAAAGAAAGGAAAGGCCCAAGACCATGTAATTAGGAATGAAAAGGGTGAAATTATATCAGACCCAGAAGAAATCCAGAGGATCATCAATACATATTTCAAGAACCTATACACCAATAATATGGAAAATGCAAAAGAAATGGAGAGATTCCTAGATACATGTGAATTACCAGAGTTGAACAAAGGAGACCTTAAAGTTCTAATCAATCAATCAGTAAAATTGAAAATGTAATTAAAAACTTACCAACTGAGGAAAGCCCAGGCCCTGATTCTAGAAGACATTTATAAAGGAACTACTGCCACTACTGTTTAAACTCTTCAATGAAATTGAAAGGGACGCATACTCTCAAATTCATTCCTAGAAGCAATATCACCTTGATCCCAAAAGCAGAGAGACCCAAACAAAAAAGACAACTAGCCAATCTCACTAATGAACACAGATGCAGAAATCCTCAATAAGATAATGGGAAATAGAATGCAGCAAATCAGCAAGAAGATCATATACCCTCACCAAGTGGGATTCACCCCAGGGATGCAGGAATGGTTCAACATATGCAAATCAATAAATGTAATACACTGTATTAATAGAGCCAAGGACAAAAACCATATGATCATCTCAGTAGATACAGAAAAAGTGTTCAACAAAATCCAACACACATTCATGATAAAAACTCTATAAAAAATGGAATAGATGGTCTCTACCTTAAACTCATAAAGGTTATTTATGAAAAACCAACAGCCAATATC